GGGAGAAGCATACATTCTATTTAAAACAATCTAATTTTAATGTTTTCTTGGAATTCTATTATATGGTTGTTACATAATTAATTTAACCTTATCCCTATTGTAAGACATTTAGTTTGCTTCTGATTTGTTCCTATTATAAAAAATTATGTCCTTATATATCCCAATAGTAATTTTCTATTTTTGAATGGTACATACTATTTATGCAATTTAAATAGTTTTAACAGAATTGTGAAATTTCTTTTTTTTTATCCTTTAGCAAAATCATCTGGGAGAATGCTAGGATTGTGAGAATGTGCATGTCCATGTGCCCATCCTTGTAGGTAAGTCTGTGTAGCCTAGAACAATTATCTGTTCCCAACTCCCTTTTAGTGCTGCTTTTCACCTGTAGCTATTCAATATATATCCAGGTCCAAGTCAAAGGAAAGATGCCGGGAACTGAGATCTACAAACTTCATTGTAGAAAATCTTATGAATACCATGAAGTGTTTTCCCATGTTGAACAAATTGTAATAGGTTCATATACTCAAAGGAGATACATATTTTACATGCAATTGCCTAAGTACTGCCCAGAAAGATAGACAGATTCAGATTTCATGACCTAGAAATATGTGAGAAAGTCCTTGGAGTAGTAGAGGCTATGCCATAATGGGCTTGCATTAAACCCACTTTCAGCCATACTGTTATCAATAGATTTAAATGCCCAACAAGGAAGCAAAAGACAGAGTAGAAAAATTGATATTGGCACAAGATCTGGGTTCAATTAGATTGCTCTTTTACATTCTCTCCCTCCATCTAGATCCTGCTCATCCTCTGATAACCAGGTCATAGTCTTTTTACACAGGTCAAGACCCGAAAGTCCCCCTTTCTTTATGTCTTTTTCAAAATGGACTCATTTGAAGGAGGTTCTGACTTTCCAGGTGTCATGTGGGTGTTCTGACTCAGGAAATAGGTTTGGGGTCCTGCAGGTAGAAGAAGATGTAAGATTCGATTAGTATAGTAGATATGCTTTATTCAATGGTAGTCACAGTCTTCAGCCTCCAGCTTCATCTCCAGCTCCTAGCCAGTTCCATTTTAGTCCTCATTTTGCCCCCATTAGCCCATTTGGCCTTTATTAACCCTCACGTCTTTTCCATAGGCCTTTTTTATATGCAGGCCAAACAAAGAAGGGACACTGCTAACAGGTTACATAAAGGGAGTGCATACTCACAAGTTAAAGTTTATGACCTTGACAACTGTCAGTACATATCACTATGGGGGTTGCCTCATATGCTATCACCATTTAGCTCAATTCACCGACTATTTTGTCTTGAATTAGTACCAAACCAGACAATGTCTGTTTTTGACTACAGAGCCACTGACATCCACACAGATAATTGTCCATGGCTGGAGTCATCAGTGTATCAAACACTGAACAGTATAGGTGTCTTACCTCCAAGTTATGGCTTGTTTATGGTTCACCTACAAAGGTAATGGGGCCTAGCACCTCCTGAAGTCTGTTTCTCCTGCCAGCTTCTGGCACACTTGAGCCCCCTCTTGGCTCCTGTCAGCTTCTGGAACCCCTAAATTTCATAGGCATAACAAAAAGGTGGCCAGGAGCTCTCTTGGCCTCCATCCAAATTATTTTCCCAAGTCCCCCCAGCTCTGCTTGACAGGCTGAATATAATGAACTTGGTTCCTGAGCCTAGCTCTGCCGTCAGCTGCCCATCAGCTGCTGCTGCTTAATTTTCAGCATTACCACTGGCCAGGTTTGCAGGCATTATTCTTCCTCATCCTCCTGGGACTCCATTAGCACTATGGGGGAGGCCAGTGGGTATTTTCAAGATATTGGATATTCTCCTCCAGTGACTATACTCTGGCTCTTAAGGCCTCTTCCTAATCTTGTAACTCCCTCATCTTGGCAGTCTGTGATAAAATTGCATCCGTTTTTGCTCTCAGAGCTGTAAGAAACATTTATCCCACAGCCCCAGCAGCCTTGTGTGCAATTAATTCCTCAGTCTATTTCTTTGTTTCATCTGCACCACCATTGCAATCTTTGTTCTTGGCTGCAGGCTGGCACCTGTGTTCTGTAACCCATCATTCTGCAGGATGGCACCTGGGTTCTGTAACACATCCTTCTGCTGAGTCCATGTTCACCACAGGGCAATCAGAAGTATTCTACATGCTTACAGGAAATCCATCCATTTTATCCCAACTCTACAGAGGATATCATGCTAATAGGACCTTGGCAACCAAGTGCTACATGCTGCTTGGTGGCCATAGGTCCCCCCTGTCTACTGGGGTTGAGGCATCTCTCACTTGAGGAACATCCTGCCAACTACACCAGCTGTCAGGCGATGGCTTTGACCCAGGAAATGAATTTGGGGTTTGGCAGGTGGAAGAAGATTCCAGACACAGTTAGGATAGTAGACATGCTTTATTCAGTGGTGGTCACAGCATCCAGCTTCAGCTCCAGCTCTAGCCAGGTCCATTTTAGTCCTCATTCTGTCCCCATTAGCCCCCCATTAGCCCATTTTGCCTTCATTTACCCCCACATTTTTTCCAGAGGCTCTTTTTATATTCAAAACAAACAAAGAAGGCACACCACCACCAGGTACATAAGGGGCGGGGGCAGGGCACATGTTCACAAATTAATGTTTACAACTTTGAGAATATACACTGAATCAGAGTGTTTCTGGCCTTGACCAACCAAAACATAGCCAGTTCCCAGCCCTGGTTACACACTAAAAACATAACATAGCCCATCAGAAGTCTTAGTGAGGGAGCCTAACCATAGCCATTTTGAGCCTGCCCCAACACCAGGTATAACATCTAGTTCCCCCTGTTACTATAATGAAATACCTGAGACTGAGTATTTTATAATGAAAGAGGTTTATTTAGCTCACAGTTCTGAAAGTTCAAGGGCATAGCACCAACATTGATTCCCTCTGGTGAAGGCCTCTGGCAACAATACCCCATGGTGAATGGCATTACAGCAAGAGTATGTGAGGATAGATCACATGGTGAGACAAGAAGCTGGAGAGCAATTCAGGAGCCAGGCTTGCCTTTTTATAATAACCCTATTATGAGAACCAAAGAGAGTCCCATGAAAAATCACATCAATTTCTTTTGAGGGCACTGCCCTCAATGACCTAATGACCTAACAGTAGGACCCATTTCTTAAAATTCCATTACCTCCCACATAACCACACTAGGACCAAATTTCCAATATATGTGCTCCCTTTGGGGCACACATAAGCCATATTCAAAACATGGCAGGGACTAACAGCTCTCTCAAAGCAGAGTTCTGTCCAGCAGTCCCAAACCATTATATATTGAGTTCTCTAGGGATTAAGTGCACACATTTCCCAGAAGATATAATAATGTGATCAAAGAGCAGTGAAATAAAATCTCAAGGCATGTGGGGTATTTTTTTTTCCTTTCCACAGATCCATTGAGCTCTTTATTTTCCTTCACAAAGGGGCATCAAAGCTTATAGAAAACAAAAATATGTTTTCTATATGTTTTTGTGTCTCCTGCTATTATTTTTTAGATATTGCCACTAAGAGCTAAGCAATTTGTAAATTTTTTATTGCAAATTTGTGACTTTTACCAGCCTAAAGTAAGGTTGATACTATATATATGGTTGGTACCAGGGATTGAACCCAGGAGTGCTTAATCACTGAGCAACATTCCCAGCTCATTTTGAGATAGGGTGTCACTAAGTTGCTTAGGACCTTGCTAAATTGCTGAGGCTGGCTGGAATTACAGGCATGTACCACCATGCCCCATCAATAACCAATATTTGTTGAAGACTATATGAGCCAAATGCTTTACATCAGTGTTATTTATCATCAAGACTTCCCAGAAATTAACTTAACTTTTAACTTAACTTTTTAAAAAAAATTTAGTTGTTGATGGATCTTTATTTTATTCATTTATTTATATGTGGTGCTGAGAATTGAACCCAGTACCGCATATGTGCTAGGCAAGTGCTCTACCACTGAGCCACAATCCCAGCCCAACTCACAGTATTTTGATATCAACTCCTTTCAGATGAAGAAACTGGGGCTTACAATGTGTACCTGACAATTGATCAATTGGTGAATCTTCAGAAAGCACAAGTTCTTGGAAATGCCATCACAAGAGTTCTAGAATCAAATATCGTTTTTCTTTGTTTTACCCGAATAAAATCATAATAACAGCATCCCCTCACCTTTTTTTTGTACTGGGGATTGAAACCAGGTGTACTTTACACCAGCCCTTTTAAATTTTTTATTTAGAGACAGGGTCTTGCTAAGTTGCTTGGGCCTCACCAGGTTGCTGAGGTTGGCCTTGAACTTGTGATCCTTGTGCCTCAGTCTCCCAGTATTATAGGTATATGTGCTACCACACTCAGCCATGGTGCACTTTTAAAGCACTTACTTTATGCCAAACACTGTTCTAAGTGCTTTATATATATTAATTAATGTAACTAAAGTAATTTTGTGTTTGCTTTTTATGACTTAAAAAATAGGACTTACTTTTTAAAATGACTATATAAGTATTAAAAATAGAGCTAAAGCTGCATTCAAAAATCTCACTACTGTTCCATGCTCCTTTTAATTTTTACTACTACTGCCCAGCCTACCTGGCTCCAAAAGAGCTAAGGACAAGAATGCAGATGAAATGGAGGCTGGGGGAGGGACAATGGATGGAGGAATTAGGGATCCTAGAGCAGCAAACAGGAAAATTCAATTATTGAAAAAAGTAGAAAAGTTCAGTAGCTCCAGAAAAAGATGCACCCCCTCCATGGTAATCAGAGAAAACAGCGAATAACTTTTTTTTTCTCCTTTGGAATAGGCAATAACAGAAAAGACTGACGGGGCCAAATGTATAAGAGGCGGGCGGGGAGGGAATCGAGGGCGGGCCCATATCTGCCGCGCTTTTGGTGGGAGTGGAAATTGGGGACCCGAGCTCACTGGTGACGTAGATCTCATGTGACCAGGAGTCGACGTGTGCAGAAGTCCTGCTAGTCTGGTCCTTGTTCCCGTCTGGGTACCAGCTCCCTTCAGCCGTGCAGGCGGCAGCGCCGGAGGCCAGCGGAAGGACTCAACTTGCTGGAATTTTGCAGGTTGGTGTCAATATGGATGTTGTCTGGGGATTTCTTGTGTGGGGTGGTCCTGCGGTGGAGACTTAAAGGAGTCCCAGGGAAGTCCATTTTTCCACCCTCACCTCCAGATCTGCAGGAAATGATGACCCTTAGGAAAGGAACTAGGGGTCCCGAGAGAAGACTTGTGAACATCAAAAAAAAAAAAAAAAAAAAAGTCATCCTGTGAGATCTGACCCCTTTGTCGACATTCACCCTGGCCGCAAATCCTGCCTCAGTTTTAAAGATAGTTTGGAAATAACCTGCTCTTCCCACTCCCTGAATAATGAGAGAGACGAGTTAACTTGCTCTATGGCGAAGAGGCGAACTGGGGAAAACAAAAGATGGGAAACTTTCCATAACTGAAACCTTAGATGAGAAAAGCTACTTGTGCCTGGTCTCGGGTGCTGGTCGGCCCACCAACTACTCGCCCCTCCCCCACCATTGCCTCCCTTCTCGGGTTTGTCCGCAGGTCTGTTAGAACCTTCCGAGGCCATAAAAGTAGGAGAAAGAAGCAGACCAGATCAATACCAGGTAAGTAAGAGGAACAATATAAAGACTCTGGGGGTGGAGGTGGGTGAGGGTGGGGTTGTAGGCCCCACTGTCCCTTCTCCCTTCTCCCCTCCCCCTCCTTCCTTTCCCCCTCCAAGCCAACCTTCTGCGTTCCGGGAGGGCCCCTTGAGCGAGAAAGGGTTGGGGAGGGCTGGGAGGCGGGAAGGAGGGCCTTGGAAAAAGCTGGAGGGAGGGACGAGAGAAGGGAGGCGAGAAGGGAGGCGCGGCGGAAAGTGGAGGTAAGAGGGCGGGGTCAAGGAAGCACTGATTGCTGACTGGGCTTCTCAGGTGGAAGATATTTGATGACGTCAGCTCTGAAATAAAAAAAAAAAAAAAAAGCAAATGCCGAGCCCCTCAGTGTGGAGCACCTGTACATTCTCCAAGCCTATGAATCATTGTCTCCTTGTTTCCTAGAAGTAATTGCATTCAAAGAGGAATAAGCAGGAAAGAAGAAAGAGAGGCACAAGATGAAACCCTGTCAGAAAATTGAAGAAAAACCAGACAATGAGAATGAACCAAAGCTGGAGGAAGAGCCAAAGCCCGAGGAAAAGCCAGAGGAAGAGGAAGAACCAGAGGAGGAGGAAAACGCAGAAGAAACTTTTAGAGAAAGGCTGATTCAATCTCTCCAGGATTTTAAAGAAGATATACATAACAGGCATTTGAGCAATGAGGATATGTTTAGGGAAGTGGATGAAATAGATGAGATAAGGAGAGTAAGAAACAAACTTATAGTGATGCGTTGGAAGGTCAATAGAAACCATCCTTACCCTTATTTGATGTAGTTTACCTTGATTTCTGTTTTATCTGAGATTAACATTGCTATGTAGCTTTCGTTTTATTAGCATTTTTCCTGATATATCTTTGCCCATCTTTCTACTTTTAACCAGTTGCTATTAGTGGTTTTAGATATAGCTCTTGTTATCTGCATCTCATTGTTTATTGTATTTTGAACCTATCTACAAGTCTCTGTCTTTGAATAAGAGAGATTTACTCACTGTAAAAAAGAAGTTCCTGTTAGCATATAAAATGGGGGGAAAAGGTTATTAAATAATATGTGAATATCATATTTTTGAATAAGGTAAAAGTACATTTGTATATTACATATATGCTCATTAAAGCTTGGGAAGAATAAGAGACAAAAAGTTAAGGCAAGCTGGGCATGGTGGCACAGGCCTATAATCCTAGCTATTTGTGAGGCTGAGGCAGGAGAGGAGGACCACAAGTTCAACACCAGCTTCTGCAACTCAGCAAGATCCTGGCCATAAAATAAAAAAGGCTGGGGATGTAGCTTAGTGGAGAATTGAACTCCTTTGTTCAATTCTCAGTGCTGCCAAAAAAAAAAAAAAAAAAGTTCAGTTTCAGTGATGGGATTATGAATACAATCTTCTGCTTGTTTGTATTTTCCATATTCCTAAAATGAATACACATTATTGTTGCTAAAATAATAAAATTTTATAACTAAAAAGCAGTAACCTATAGCATTTATCTGTTTATTTCTGAAAGTACTGAGGCACTTATTATTCGTTGACCAAATATTATAAACAAATGTGAACTTCAAAGTACCACCAGATCACTTAGCTGAAACATTAAATTTTACATCTTTTCTCATCAGTAAAATAACAATCTCACAGGAATCTCATAGGAGCCAAATTAGGTAATTACTGAGAACAGTTTGACAGGGCTTTGTCTCCATCTGCTCATGCAGAATCCAAACTCCCTAAGATTTGTTTCAGCTACTTGGAAGGATGGAGAGTAGTTTCTCACCTCTATAATGCTTTGTTTTTTTGGGGAGGGGTGCTCTTCATGCCTCCAGAACATACTTCAAGGTTACAACAGTCCTACAGATGCTGGTGGGGTTAGAATTCAAGGTGGAGTGAGATAAATTTCAGGGGCTCACTGTGCCATTTTTATAAGAAAAGGAAAAGGCAGCCACCTGTTGTTCAGAAGGGGAGTTATCAGGTAGGATGAGGAAGGGCTCCCCCAAGTCATACTCCCCTCTAGGTGGGTGTGACTTTTCTTTCTCTGCCTCTGGGCTGTTTGCCAGGCTGTCCTAGACAGGTTTGTGTAGAGGAGGACAACAATTTCCTTTGCAGGTCAGAGTTCTAAACTTCCTTTCCCCCTTTTCCTTCTCAGGAGGGGCTTGAAGGGAACTTTTTATAAGGATCAACATAGTACTTCAAAATTCACTAATGAGAAACATTAGTAGTGGGTAGTCTTTGTCCCAGACATGACTGCTCTGGATGTAATCAGATAATTAGGGTTTAAAGTAGCAGGGCCTGATGGTAGGGGAAGATGATTATTGATAGTACACAAATATTATAAATTGTAATGTTCATGTACTAAATTGTTAATAAATGATTTCAGTTTAAAGCAAGTGATGTTAGTTTAGATTTGGGTAATGTTATAAAATTTCCTTTCCAAAAATTATTAAAATTTCATAAATGAGTCAGTTTGAAGTAGAACACAATATTAATAGCATGGGTGGTACACAGATGTGGCAAACTCATCCTGGTAGGAAACAGTTCCCTAGCATAATTACTTTAGGGCTAATGTCTGCAAACACTTGCCAAGAACGGAAGAATCTAAAGTTTTACCCTACTTAAAGCTAACAACTTAGCCTGCTACCATTTAATGGATGCTGGCAGAAGACCTAGACTTCTGGGTCAGAGATTAAGGGCATTATTACAGCAAAAGCAGTAGGCAGAGATTCGTGTTGGTTTGTATTGGCTCCCTTTGATTGCCAAATCTCATGGGTCAACATGGGACCCATGATGAATGCTTGAACATGCAGTGCTTCGCATGACAGGAAAGAAACCCTGAGTTTGGGGAACTGTCTGTATTCATAGTAAGCAGAAGCAAGCATGCTCTCTGTTCAGGGAAAGATGTTTCCCCAGCCCTCAAGGTTACTTGCTGCAAACCCACTTGAAAAATTATCTGCCTCTGCGAAGAATGGTCAGGGCCTTACATTCTTGGCATACCCAATAAGAACATGCAGGGACACTCAGTCTTTGGCAGATTGCCACTCCCAATAACAGTTTTCTTAGTACAATAAATCCTAATGTCAATTGCAAGCATTAAGATAAACAGTCATTAGCCAAGCATGGTGGCGCACGTCTGTAATCCCAGGGGCTTGTGAGGTTGAGGCAGGAGGAACACAAGTTCAAGGCCAGCCCTTGGTGAGGCCCTAAGCAACTTAGCAAGACCCTGTCTCAAAATAAAAAAGAAAGGCCAGTGTTGTGACTCTGTGGTTAAGCACCCCTGGGTTCAATCCAAGATACAAACAAACAAAAACACAAGAAAAACAGTCATTGAAGAACTTTAAAATTACAATAAGACAAAACTACCATGGCATTCCTTAAATAAAAGAGGTAGAAGGGCAAAGTCAATGGATTCATCAGAAAAAAACACCAACGACAAGAGTAATCTTATGCAAAAATTTTTACTAGGAAACTGACAAGAGGATGTGTGTTTGAAAATCAACCCCAGATCCCATATACTAACCTCAACGTAGCCTCTGTGAAAAGGAAAAACTAAAAGAAAAGCTTTTCTGTTCTCTCTTCAAGGAAAGTTCAAAGTAGGGTAAAGGCCAGAAAAGGGGGAAGTTCACTCACATCACAGTACTGAAAAGCAGTTATTTGATATTCTGTCACTGGTATTTTGCAATAGCCTTAGGAAAACATACTTGCACAACTGGATGGATAACTTAGTTGGGTAGAGAGCATCTTTTCATGTGCTCTTTGGCCATTTGCATATTTTTACTTTGAGAAATGTTTATTTAAATCTTCTGTCCACATCCTCCTTACTATTTTCAATATAGTGTTGGAAAGTATCTGTTTAAAGAAAGAGGTAGGGGGGCCAGGGTTATGGCTCAGTGGTAGAGTGCTTGCCTAGCATGTGTGAGGAACTGGGTTTGATCCTTGGCACCACATAAACAAATAAAATAAAGGTGTTGTATCCATCTACATCTAAAAAATTATTTTAAAAAAAGAAGGAGGTAGGGCTGCAGATGTAGCTCAATGCAGATGTAGCTCTTGTCTGGTATATACAAGGCCCTGGATTTGATTCCCAGCATTGCAAAAATAAACGAATAAACAAAGGAATTAGGTAGATTTGTGTGTACGTACTATGTGTTCACCATGCATTGTTAAAGAATGAAGGATAGGAGGTACAGCACAATACATATACATGTCCACAAATATCAAGATGACTGAAATAAGGGATCATTTATTTTTAAGTGGCAGTTTAGTATCTCACCAGGAATCCTTTGTTCTGGTTGTTTAGGAGAAATAATTATTTTTAAAACTTTTCCTAATGTGTAATCCTATTATCCTTACACTTTAATTATCAAATTAGTTCTTGAACTTAAACCAAGTCCTTCCCTTCCATGAATTCTGAGTTCTTTTCTAGCTGTTTTATCATTAATGTATTATTTTATGGAAAAGGAACAAGAGATTTAGCCAAGATTTCCCAACTATTAAATGGAATCTCTGCTCTTAATCACTACTCTGAAACAGCAAGTATTTAATAAATGATAACAAACGTGCTATGCTGAAGGAATTCTATCAGTTCCTCAAAGCTCCATTCTTTTTCAACCCTTCATATTGGTTTCCATAATTCTCTCTGCCTGAACCTAAAATGGAGTTCTTGCTGCATAGGCCACAACCATCTACTGGGCATTTAATAAAATAATGGTTTACAATTGTAAATATGTACATTTTCATCTCAGAAGTATTTATCAAAGACCTAAGAGCTATTCTCAAAAATGTAACCCTCAATAGAATAAAACCTCTGTCTCCAAGACTCCATGGGAGAACAAAATCCTAACTTTAAAAGTTACCAACCAACAAACACAACTGGGGTATTCTTATTTACACATTAACTGACCCTTTGTAATTTTTATTTCTCTGACTCAGCCCTAGTGCTCAGCCTTAGTTATTTGCTTTTGGTTGACTTTAAAAGTCAATAACTCTGGAGGTCACACAGCTAAGCTATATGTTATTAGTATACCACTAGCTTTGCTATAGATAATACCTCTGACATGTGGGTCATGATGACAGGATGCCTAGGTTATTTTTTCAGGAACTGGAAGGCCATTTTTGTGAAAACCACTAACTCTTCACTTGGGCATATGCAGGGGTCCAATGGGTGACCTTTTGGTGTTAGGAGGCCAAAAACTCCACCCTCAGATAATGCGTATGCCACCATTTTCTGAACATATTTCCCATGAAAAAGCCATGAAGATTGACTATACATGTTCAGACCACTGATTGCTTCATCTCTGATCACTTTTCCCCATACTTTAAACCACCCTGTTTCTTTACACAGTAAACGTCCTCAAAACCTATCCTCAGGGAGGTGAAATTTGAGACTTCTCTTTCCTACCCTCATACTTGGCTGCCTTATAAATAAACTCTTTCTCTTCAGCAAAACTCATTGCTTCAGTGATTGACACACTGTGTGGAAGGCAAAAAGGGCCTGGTTTGGTAAATACACTTAGCCTGAATAATTCCTACTCATCCATCACAGAATAAATGTTACTGATTTTTATGACATATTTATTGAGATACAATTCACATACCAATTCACTCACTTAAAGTATATAGTGCAAGGAACTTGAGCACATTCACAGATATGTGTAAACATCACACCAATCAATTTTAGTCCATTTTTATCAAGGGAAAAAGAAACATTATAACCTTAGTTATGACTCTTCCATGCCCCATCCTCCCCAGCCCTACACAAACACTAATCGGCCTTCTGTCTCTAGAGTTTTCCCTGTCCTGTATGTACATATAAAATATGGTATCACATAGCTATCTTCATTTAATTAGCATAATATATTTAAGTTTCATCCATGTTGTAGCATTTGTCAGCACCTCATTCCTTCTTATTGCCAAATGTTATTCTATTTGATGGTTAGTCCACATTTTGGATATGTATACTGGCAAGGATATGGAACTATAGAATCTCTCATTTATTGCGGGTGGTAATGCAAAATGGTACAGCCAGTTTGGAAGACATTTTGGCAGTTTCTTACAAAGACAAACATGCTCTTGCAATATGATCCATAGAAGCCTTTTCTGTGGTATCTTGCATCTAGACATTGTCACAGGTAGTTTTTGTTGCTGTTTGGTATTTATCCAAATGAACTGAAAACTTATGTCTACACGAAAACCTGAACACAGATGTTTATTGTAGTTTTATTCATAATTGTAAAAAAACT